AAAAAGAACCCAATGGAGAAAAAGGATTCATGTAGCCAACCCCACATAGTGGGATTAAGACTTTGTAGAAGCATGCATGCACATGTATATTTGGAAAATTTGATTGTGCACACCACATATGCAGGACTTGAACCTATGATCTATTGATTGAAAGACAGATCTCAATAAACAGACTAAGGTGGCCTTTAGAAGATGCTAGCTAGGGAAAAATTATTTGGCCATACAAAACCAAGAATTGCACAAAATAAAGTGAACGCCTTATACATATAACCTCAACAGAAAGAAATGATGTGATTTGGATGTTAAAACAATATAAATGATGAGTAATTATAAATCAGCAGATAAAAAAGACTTAATTTGACTTTGCATGTTTCACCTCAAACTCAGACTTTGAAGACCAGAGCTGTGAAATTGTCTTCGGGCAAACTCCACCTGCAGACGACCCAGCACTGAAGCAGCCCTGCTACCAAAAATCATGTAATTTCAACTCAGAATTTATTGCTGTTTCTAAAAACAGCAACGAGCATTAACTTTAAATTAACTTCAAATTCATTGCAGGCATAGCGAAGCAGACATATGGAGTGGATTGTTCCAGCTGATGATATCCATCATAATTTAGAGTTATCCGAACTATACAAAAGCATAGAGAATATGTCATCCTCAGTTGGCCTAGCTCTCTGAAACTATATATAGTAAACCGAATTACAAGAACTAGTTATAGTTTTATATTAACGGCAATAAACTCAAAATTTGGCACATTACTTCTTGTATTTCCCATTCAAAACCATATAATGTTTACGAGTATATGCATATCTTCAGCTCTCTATAATTCAATCTTTCCTGAAGGAATGAATGGTCTAGTTTAATGACCACCATCATGGAGCAAATGTAGGCTTTGATATTAGGATGGATTTAAGAGGAGCATGAGAAAAGGTAGCACCCCTCATAACTTTTTCATATACTTCTAAATACGTAATATATAAATACGTAATATGTGTGTGTGTGTGTGTGTAAATACGTAATATATAAATACGTAATATGTGTGTGTGTGTGTGTGTAAATACGTAATATATAAATACGTAATATGTGTGTGTGTGTGTGTGTGTGTGTGTGTGTGTCTGTGTCTGTGTGTCTGTGTGTCTGTGTGTGTCTGTGTGTGTGTGTGTGTGTCTGTGTGTGTGTGTGTGTGTGCGCGCGCGCGCGAGAATAACCTGGCTAATTGGTGCGGCCTCAGGCGTAAGTCCCTCGGGTCGGGGGTTCGAAACTCGTGGTGCGGGCTCTTCGAATCAGAAGCAAGCACACCAAGGTTTTCAACCCTTTGGGGGAATCAATATTTGGCGCCCGCTGTACCAAATATTGATTTCACCTTTTAATATATATATA